TATAAAAAAGCATATAAAACTGCTTGATTGGCCCCAAGCCATACTAAGTGCTAAGTGGTGTGTAAAGTAAGAACAGTTTAATAGCCCATCAAATAGTCAGTTTATAGCTTCCTATTGCACATCGGCTATAACTTTGTTACTTGCCAAATATTATCTATCACATCCGCTACGGTTAATTACGACATTTTCATAGGTTTATCTAAATATTCACAGTTAATTACATAACGCCACTTATTCTTCATAGAGGTGCACAAATGTACATACTTGATATTTGATGTAATCCTGACTACTTCTCGCTCATGTCTTTTAGCCTATAATTCGTATAAAATACTGTAACACATGTTTCCTTCCATTACTAATTACATCATGAAATACATGCCATATTGTACTGTCATTTTTCATAAGAACCTTCAGACGACCATGCCACAGGTCTATTCGCTCACGCAACGTACCGTGAGCAAGGGAAATAATTATTTATTTTTTATAGGTAGGTACACAAATATGGTGGATGTTGCATGCAGTACATCTTAACAGAAATAAACGTGATGGTATGTTGTTGCATCACGATACAACTATACGACATGAAAGAGAAGTAAGCAGCAATAATAAATGAAAAGGGACAAGTATTCACTTGTCTATCAGATGGTAAAAGACAAAGAAAACAGGTTATAATGTCTAAATCACATTTACAACGTAAAGGTCCTAAAGTTCAGTTACTAAGCATTCAATTAAGTACGTACTTCTTTTGTTCTACAAAGAAAACTGGTAATGAGATGGGTTTATCTATTACTTTTTTGTGTATAAAGAACCTTCTCAATTCAAGCTCAAATCTTTTGATTATTAGACAATTAGCTATTAAAGGCTAGTTCCACATCCCACGAGTCAATAATTTCACCCACAACAAAATATTCTCGTTGGTGATCTCACCAATAACACGATATAGTCGGATATAAGTGTTAAAAGACGACATAAATGTATACCTACCGAAATCCTTACTATACCTACATGAAAATATGCTCATTTCTAAGTCTACCCTGAGCCCTAAGTTCCTTAAGAGTACCTATCTTTGATAGGAACATCTTCTATTGTCCTTTCTCATCACCTCTGACTTTTTAAACGACTTAAATAAAAGTAAACATTTTCAGTTAAGACGGAATCAGTCATCTATTTAGTTTAGTGACAAAATAAGCTATACAAGTACAGTGGGTACGTGTATCCAGTTTGTCAGTGACTTAAATATATAAGGGCACCATAACAGAAAATATTACTACCTAATACGCATTATCTAAAATCTGAGAAAACAAAATATTGTTGCTTAAGAACAATAGTTATACCGTTGCTAGTTTAGTTTACCGTTAATAAGTAGAATAATTAGGTTAGCCCTGTAATGTAATAAAGATTTACAGAATATAATAATTACTATGCTAATGTTTTCATTTACACTTCAATGTTACTTAAAAGTAACAACAAGTATAACAGTGCGTACGTATGTACCTATGTGTTAATTAAAAGATATACAAAAGGCAGGATGAATCATTAGGGATGAATTGGTTCCATAAATATTCATATTCGTAATTCGTTGCTGACTGACAAAGCCTACAAATTACCTACCAACTGTAGGAAGTAGACCTATATAGAAAACATTAAAACTAATCCCTTCCTAGTTTAAACATTCAGTAGAACTTAAACTAAATACGAACAACGAACATTTTACAGCATATACTTTGTTGTTTCAGCTGAACGATCAACGTTGTAATATTTTTCAACGCAAACGTTGTAATTTGTAAGTCTTGTATGTAAGCGAACTAATTCGTGAAGTCGGAAAACGCATTCCCGCCAACCGGAGCGGCCATCTTTAAATAAAACTGTCAATCCTATTTAGTATTTTTTTAATCTATTTCCAACAAATACGTCCGTAACAGGTGTGTTCTCTGCCTTGCGTCTGTTTCGGCTATTTTAGTAAACGCATGAGCATAAAATAAATCTTCCGTTTGAAGTTACATTTATGTCCGTGTTGAGATAACGAATTAGTTTTTATTTTTATTCTAATCTTGCTTAGCTTCTATAATAACATTTAATGTGAATAGTTTTAACTTCCGTCCTGTTTGTTGATAAATTAATAGTGTATCCTTTAATTATTATTATGAGTGTTACCACATGATATATGATTAAGCCTATGTTATCTCTGAAAATACTTAAAATCTTTACACTATTTTTGAACTCACAGTAATTTTAAGGGTAATTATGTTATTTTAAGGACTTTTTTTATTCATAAATGTAATTATTCAAAAATAGTAACATACTACGCACATAAATAAAATAACCCTCAGGATAAAACCCTTTCTAAGTCTAATATTAAGTAGGTTGGTCTAATGTGGTTCAATGTTCGATGAATGATGTAGCACAATCGAGTGGTGTGGGGTTCAAACTTTAGTCCATAGGTGTACCTATTATGAGATATTTACTAATTATAGTGTATTTTCGCCAGCCCTACAGAAGTTCTTTTAAGTATCACATAGATAGGTAATTAGTAGGACTTTTTGCCGATATATTTCATGTACTTCTAAGTGAATTAAATACTGACAAGTCTATATACCTACATTCATAACATACGTAACTAAAATTTAACACATGGACAACGCCCCCAATCACTTTTGAATGTAAGTAGATTGTGGGCGAAACACAATATAGACCTTCCGTTATACATCTCTGATCACCCCATTATGTTCAAAGATCACTTGCAAACAAGATGTTTACATTCAATCCTGAAAAACTACTAAATCGTAATATTTAAAGCTAATCCATTGAAATATGTTCTACTATTCCTTATCACAACCTTCATATGTGTGTTAGTCAGATAGTAAACATTGTAAGAACTAGTTTACTAAGCCATTAACACTCGTGAATTAAACGAAACATCGACTCCGTTACTAAGTAAATCTTTACCTTACAGGCTTACACACTTTAGTCCTAAAGAGTAAACACTTACTCATACTATTTAATAGGTAACCAAACTCTATTATTAACACAATAGGGTTCATTATCACTTACACAAAATGAGACGAAACACTCACCTTGACAGTTTCCATAATCAATTTTCACAAAAAACAAATAAAAAAAAGCAAACACTGAAATCCCGTACATGATCAACCGATCAGAAACAAATCACATCTGGATCGAAGTGTTCGCGCGTGAGTATCGAATGGCGGTGTGCGATCGGATTCGCGATGAGTAACTGATAAGGGCTGATAACGTGATAACGATAAGGCGCGGGCGGCGAGTACCGGCGCGCCGGTTCGCGCCTCACGTCTTTGCTTGTCGACATCTGCCGCGCCTCTAACTGACACTTCGTAACTTCGTTGCGTTCTACCGACTGGCTGTGTTGTAGTCTCGTAGGCTCGTAGTCGCGTAGTCTCGTAGTCTCGTAGTACGCCGCTACATAGGCACCGCCAATTGATGTTTATTCCCTGATAAGATTAGACACGGATAGAAAACACTAATACACGTGCTTTATATGGTTCTGGTTAGCTGTACATTACTGCTGCCTTATCCGTTTAGCCCACTTTGTCGTGTTGTGGGTACATCATGCTGTTTAAACATCGTGAGATAACTAAGCTATTTAGTCTGTGTTTTAACAGGATACCAACTCCTGTAAATTATATCTGAAACTGCAATCCTTTCTCTTTTACTTATACTCACCATAGTTGGTACCTACTTAGCGTTAACGACCGTATTATAATTTATAACAGTAGACATACAAATGTTTATCAACTGCAATCTCTACAAATTGCACTCTGCGTTCTCAAGGTAAGAAGTGAGATAATACATCGTATGTCCTCTCTTTGTCAGCCGGTTCTAAAATTAACAGAATACTGGAATGTGTTATTTGCATTTAACAGGTTCCATTTATCATCATTAACTTTTAAATTGTAACAAAAATCACTTTGAAGCGTTGGAACGTGCCGAACGTGTCAAAGTGTTAAACACGCTTAAGTAACGTCGTTGTGGCCATACATACATAGATACTTATTGAAACTACAGTTGATAATGCACAAGGCACTAGGGCCTTCTGTGTACCGTCGCAAATTAATAGACTACAGGCTCATTAAACAGGTAGTAAAATCAGTGTCCTTCACCTCGCAGCCATTCTGTTGTCCTTCCTAATTACTAATTATGGACACCGAACACAGTTCGTAAGATACACGACTCGCAGTCACGCACTTAGCCACTCCTATGCTACTCTAAAGTGTGCCGCACCACTTTATGTTGACTCTCCTCGACCCCCATATCGGTGCATGGAATAGGAACGATAAGCGAATCTTACTAAGTTCATAGAGACCTTCGAAGAGTGGCTATTCAAATGTGGGTGTACACTCGAGGCCAAAACTACAAATCTAAGAAGTTCGTTGTCGTTGTAACAGTGACGTGATACAAATGGTCTGTAGGCGGCGAGCCGTCTGCTAGCTATAATACATGCATGCAAATAAATGTCATCATACCAAACAGTCGTATAGAAAACTTCGCAATATTAACTAACCGTTCTTAATAAGTGAGCTTGCATCATATCCGTTTGCTGCCACTTGGAGCTTTGGTTGTAAATCATAATACCGTTTGAATTTTTTGAAGCGTAACTTTGATTATAATGACTAGTCATAATAATATACCTTTTATACACTTCATGCTTCACCTAATAAATGTAATCTTACCGCGGAAAATACCACAATTACACATTTCTTTACAAATAGATACAGTAAAAACTACGTTATATTCAGCAATTTACATAAATCAGAAATGGAAGAGAAGGAAAAATAAAAAAGCTAACATTTTTTACGTGGTTATAACACGAATGGCAAAACAGAAAACCCTAATTGACACTAAAGTTCAGCTCAATGTTAGTAGATTATAATAATACGAAGATTCGTATTGGCCATCTAATCAATGGTTTAATAACTAAACGCAAATAAACTTTTATAAGAACCTATTTGCCTAAACGCCATCATGTTTGTGACTGTATCGATAAATCCGAATGATATACGTGTAGAGCAAGTAGGTTCAACCGGCAGTGTCACAAGACGGAGTGCCCCTAACTAGTTAAGTGACTAACTGCAGTTAGCGACCAATATCGACACATGTAACTAAGTGCTTAACTACTTACAAAGGTGCCAGTTTCTCAATCCTTAAACGTTTCCATTGTTTACATTTTCTTCTATCGATTGTTTACATAAATGATCGGAGCACGCCTCTACATTTACAAGTTCACACTCGACGAGACAACTTGGAGTTCATTCGTTTCCTGACCTACCTTCGTTACTTATACAACGGCTGTGTTTACATTATTTACGTTAACTATGATGTTCAATCATCCGTCTCAACTCAATATTAAACTCAATAAGTACTCTCCAGTGACGGATATAACAACATATATTATGTAAATATATATTTTATCCATAAAATAAATAACATGAACTAGGTAAAAAGAAATGAAAATAACTTTATTATGTCGGACTAACCTCTCGTTTCTTAATGTTTTGGTATGAAAGACTAGAAGCCAACTTATGTTTAGAACGCGACAAAGATTTCTTGGACATACCTTTATGATGGCGACGCTTCGATCTCGTCGCACTAGCCGTCTCTAAGAAATCATAAAAGTGATTAACGGGTTCGAACCATGCGAATCCTAATTCAGCCTTACCCAACCAGATGTGCCCATTAGGATCCGTCAACCGCAGGTTGCCTGTTGGACAACTGTCCGCAAATTCACAGTGCAGATGACCTCCATCGGGATAGGTATAATTACCCTTGCCTGAATAAGACCAATCTTTCACAATTCCTTCGAATTTTGCACCGTCGACGTACGATATTACAACCTCGTCACTCCAGCCGAATCTATCTTGATCCCAGTGTCCCTGGTACCGGTCGCCTTCAGCTGTCGTATAAACACCATACCCTAAAACGTTGACATTTTTATTTCAACTGACAAATAATGGTACTTAATTGCGTCTTTTGAAAGACAGTAAGTACAGGAAGAGAATGAACGCAACTGTTTAAGTAATTGGACCGTAACGTTCGTCTGTGCGCGCCTTGGAATGGATTACGATACGGTCGATTAGACCACACTGAATATGACAAAAATATTCAGTTGACTACGTCGTCGCTTACAACCTAAAGAAAAGGTGTCTTTGCAAGACAATACATAGTTTTGTTTCGCGAATATAATATTGAGTGAGGCATGCGCAGTTAGTACTTGCAGGAATTTAAATTTTGCACATTACACGCTTGTCGGTACAACACATTACACTGCAGCTTGCAGTTATTTATGTAAATTAGGTAGACAGGGAAGAAGGATTCATATTTATTTTTGATATTATCGACATTTTAGTAATTTTTCGCCGTTAATCTTCTGATTTAAGCCGCAAGCGTGACTGCCGATCGTGAGTTTACGGGTTAAATTGAGCAATAACTACTTAGTTTCTACCTCCCTATCTACATTTTCCAGTTTATGTATTCTTAGTAGATAGTACCTACACGCCACGCATAGATTGTTATAAATAAATCGATAGTGTAACCGAATTTATAGAGGCCCGTGTTAGGTTCGTGAGTCCTATTTAGGTACTATATGTTGTACTTACGCTAAAAACTAAAATTACCTATCTAAGTATTTAAAAATCTCACCATGCATTTTAACCGCACGATCCTTTTTCTTCGCTTCGAAGTATCCATCATATGAATCTCCAGTGTCATGCTGGAAGAAGCCCTGATCATGTACGACAGGTATCTCCTTCTCCTTCTGCGACATTTTGTCTTTCTTCGACACATTACTGTCTTCAACCTCTCGATCCGTGGCATGTGTGGCCGTGAGTGCTGTTTTTGTGGTTCCTGACGCCTCTGTCATTTTCACTCAGTCTTTTACCTTAAGTAATTGTAAAAAGAATATTTTTTCAATAAAATATAGTGCCTTATGCCTATCCTATTATAAAGTTCTATCTAACTTAGAGATCAGTACTCCTACCCGCACGTTTTACGTGCTATTGACTACTAGGACAGTAGGTAGACCACTCGATGGACGGGGTGGATGATGGACCTCTACATAAATAACATATGCGATATCTAATGAACTTTCCAGATATAGGTAGATAAGTTACTGTACGATTTGCACATATCCTACCCAAATGCCCACACAGTTAGATTTTAGATTCAGTTTTCTAGGAAATAATACAAAACCACTGAGTGACCAATATAATCTGTAGAGCTCTTCGCGCTACACAGAACACAAGGCATAAACCATGACGCATTCCCATATAAATTCCTATTGTCTATGGTTACGGTAATTTCGACTAATTGTGCATATTGTACGCCATGAATATCGTTTTGAAGTATTGAAGTGTTCGGTATTTATGTACCTAAGTAGGTACAAATTGGTTGAAATTGTATGAATTGAAAAATTTTTTAATACGGCAGTCAGGAATGTGATGATTGATAGCTAATCTCTACATCTACCTGGTACCACTAGGTAGGTGCCTAGAACTACATCTTTTTTGAGCGGGGAAAATCATCCTATGACTTCTCCCGCATTGGGTGACGTGATAGAGAGTGTCAGACTCTTACCGACTAAAATCCATCTGTTCCTACTTTTACTCCTGCTTCGAGCCGGAGTCCCGGTAACCCGCGAGATCTACCGCAGCTCCGAAAACTACCACCTTAGAATAAAGAGTGGTCTCGCGTGCGAGAAAGACTATCCTCTATATTTACCTTGCTAAGTTCGACGGCTGTAAAACGTGCAACTACTGGCATAGAAGTTTTGGTCACGTAAACAAAATATTGATCCTGCTACCAAAATATATTGGTCGGTTCGCCAAAATAATAACTATCCGACCTGCCCACTGCAGTGACAACTACTGTTCCCATTATGAAATAACAAGAAACCCAATTTTATACACCGAAGTGGCATCTATTCGTCTTGGACTTATTTCGCTTATAGAGGTATAAATGTATATTAAGTAAAATACTTGTTATCTTGGGCAGTACTGTACTGAAATAAAAATGTACCTACAACGTAAAACTTTCATACCGTATTTTATAAATTCTCAGCTGTTCTAATAATATGTAATAACTTTTTAGTCAGGTGAGGGATTGACAGACGTCCCGTGTCATTGTCATGTCAGGTCGCGAGGGGTGCGTACTTGTTATTACCGGCCATGACCTTAATGAGTGTACCGAGACCATGGAGTCTATTCTAATACAATAAACCTATTTCGGTATAAGGGTGAAATTTCAATTTTCTATCAAATTTTCTATTATGTATGTCGAGGACGGGACAACGGACTACCACGTAATAGGTAGGTGCTGCCGTACATGGTTAAGATGCTGTAATGTACGGTTTACGTCTATAACTATACCGTACCGAAATTTGCCAATAACTCATCTTTTCCTGCTGCTTTGGGGAATAAAATGTTTTGTTACCTTTATTTACTCTAACCATTAACTAGGAACGTCTACCCAAAAGAATATCTATGTTGACTTTATGATAGATTGAATTCTAGACTACTACTAGATGGCGTTGGTATCGAATTAGATGCCGCTATGGTTTCGTTACCGGCGTACATATATAAGGGCGCTGCGCACCGTCGTCCAGTCAGCCTGTAAGTCCCGCTGGGAAAAGGCCTCCCCTCTATAGGGCTATAAAAACATCATCATAATATTTTTGTAAAAGCTAGTCGTGCCGCATTGTTGCGGTCGGTAGCTTTAAGGTTTACTTTGTTATTGTAAGATTAAGAAGATATAATAATGTATGTAATGAAATATAATTTTTATCGACCTCGTATACAAATAGCATAATTCGTAAAACCATACTGTAAACCATTACGCTATTTATATGCCGAAGCGGTAGACAATCATCAAACAGATACGGATACACATTAACATTTAATAAATGTAGTACCCAGTTTTCCTTAGACGATCGATAAGAGGAATTTATGTATAGTCATGCACAGCCACTGCAGTGTATGTACATGCAAATGCGTTCAGAAAATCGAATAATACCACATAGACATAGGTAAATAATAATAATAATACCACATACATAACTTCACGCCTTTTAATCCGAACCCAATGTTCCCCTATACTTATTCTACTCTTTGGCCCAATATATCAGGGTCAAGCCACAGCCATTTGCAGGAACACAATTTCAGACTAAGTACTGGAAAAAAATTCCAATTCTACTTTGCTCGAACAAACATACTGACAAGCAGCTATTTTCATAGGCGGTCAAAAGTGAGCGTGTTTTCAGTTTTCACAGTATAATATTAGGTAGGTACTATAAATTGCAAGAAATAAAACAAAGTTAAGTTAATTGTAAAATATTATATTCCACTAACTTTCATAAAATCATCTGCATCATCAGAACATTATAAACAGGTGTTACGAAATCATAAATAAGCCCTTTTGCGCCAAATATACATGCATATATACCAATATACCTCGTATTCACGGTGCAAATAATATCTCATCATAATTTCAAGTAAGGCACAAAATATATGTAAATGTTGATAGATCTCTGCTCCAATCACTACTAAATTAAACTTGATTACAATTTTATGAAATAAATACCTATACAAAAATGCGAATGGTATTCGATAAAAAAAATGTAAACAAAATCCGAATTAGGCAGTTTATAAATAATAATAAGTCCGGGATTCTTATGTTACATATTCACAATATTATTACAAATATAGTTGGAGCTTCTATTTGGACATTGTACGATTACCATTCCTTAAAAAACTAAATAAATAATCACTTATTTTTTTAAATGCCGCACTTCCTTCGATTACACGCGCCCTGTTGCTATATCTAGAACCTTCTATACATTGCCCGACTACAAGCGAACGCACGAGACAGATAATCACAGCACTGGTAAATAAACTTTTTAAAAGACAACAACTAATTATATTATAATCGTAACTAGTTCGGACGCGCTAATCGAAGGAAACCACGGTGACGACTCGATACATTCGATTATTGGACACTTGTTTGTAAAAATACATATTGCACGAGAGCCGCAACTAAGTTTAGAACCTGTGTCTATCTTTAGTGATCAGTGCAGAAATTAAAATGGTTAAATAAGTCTTCTTTGACACGGTCATTACTTAAAAAAACATGATTTAATCATTGTGATTTAAAAAAATATATAAAAACGATCGCACTTACAGTTACGTAACACTTATAAAAAAAAAACAATAATTACAAAATGTAGATATTGCTTAAATAGATATTCGATTATGTACTTTATACACAGATGTCCATTAATCAAAATGTGTGGAGTGTTTGGGCAGTGTTCAGAGGATCATGTTGGCGGGGTCCTCGATGTTCTCCTTGAAGGCCTTCATCCATTGCGCGCCGACCGCGCCGTCTATCACTCTGTGGTCCGCTGACGCCGTGAATGTCACGAATTTGGCCAAACGGAATCTGGAATATGAAAAGAAGTTATTAAACTGACAATGAATTCCAACCAATGTTCACAAACCTTTAAAAAAGTCTTTGATTGTTTATTGCTATTAGGATTTCATGCTGCACTACATGTTTTACGAAATATTTGTTAGAAAATCAGAAATTATGACTCAAATTGTGGAGTAAAACATGGCACCTACCCTTGGGGTTCATTTTTGTCAGGGATAACTAATTCCTGGAGACCTCCACACGCCAAGATTAACGACTGAGGAGGATTGATGATTGCGTTGAACATTGTGATACCTGGAAACAATATAAGGGAAGGGCTTTAAATATGACTTCCGAATATTAGTTGAAATATTAAACTAAAAACCAAAGAAATGCATAAGTTTTAGAGGAACAGACAAACACAGAGCACCACCTACCAAAATTATTAATTTGGCGTCATTTATGCCATCCTACGTCTGCTCACACAAGTACCCCACACCGGGCCTTTCTTAATTCTTTCAGCCTTACACAGGCATCAACGAAGAAATTTGTAGAAAAACAGTAATGTAACTACTTACCATACATTCCAAGGTTAGAAACAGTGACAGTGCCTCCCTGGAATTCCTGGGGCTGTAGCTTGCCCTCCCTAGCCCTCGCGGCGAGCTCCTTCATGTTCTTGGAGAGCTCGATGATACCGCGCGAGTCGCAGTTGAAGAGGATCGGCGTGATCAGACCTGCAGGGGTCGCTACTGCTACGCTCACGTCTACATTGCTAAACCTAGAAGAATAACAATTTTTTTTAGTACCAAAATGATAGGATTCATTCTTATTGTCAGCCAGTTGATGACATTTTAATGGCTTTAAATCTTTAAACGTCAATAAAAACTTAGAGGTAGGTCTCTACCTCATAAGTTTACACGACAGGTAAAGGGCACCAGACACCGTTACAAAAAATTAACTCTGTTCAGTGACATAAAGTAGAAAATCAAAGGGCCACTCACTGTCTAATGAAAGAGTCCATCCAGTGCGAGTTGACTGTAGGTACTCTCTTGCAAGCCGCGGCGACAGCCTTTACAATGAAGTCGTTCATTGAAACCTGGAAAACCACAATGACAGTTTAGTAAATAATGTATCTGATACCTTTCAACAAATAACGCTTTTTAACGAATAACAACTCAACAGGATTAAAATGGTCGAGTTTTAATGCACAAGACAATGTAAATTGTTTTCTATAGTCATAATCATGTATACCTTAACTTCAGCCTTCTCAGCAGCCAATCTCTCATTGACTTTCTTTCTCATCTCAATGGTCTTCTCAACATTGACAGTAGCCGTCAGCTGGTAGTGAGGGATGGTCTGCTTGGCGGCGGACAGTCGCTTGGCGATGGTGGCGCGCATACTGGACAGTGGGATGTCCACGAAGGTGGCGCCCGGCGCCGGCATGGGCGGCGGGGCAAAGGCCTGCGTTGCCGCGGCCGCTGGAGCATCTGATAAGTCCCCACTCTTCAGCGAACCGTACAGTCCCGAACCCTCTCCTGATAGCATGAAATAAGATATTGAAAATAAAGCAAACAAAATAAAAGCCAATTCAAAAAGTCATTATACAATTATTGTAATTTAAATTTTTTCAACTATATACAAGATACTTAGAATGTATTTCACGCCACCAGAATAGAGACTGATTTGACGACAAGTGATATTAATGGAATGTTAAAATGATGTATGAAGGGCAAGGGTCCATTTAGTTTTTTGGAATATGAAAGTATGTACTTATAAGTAAAAGATGCGTCAGGGCAAAACATCTTTCTTGAATTTTTCATTTGTAAAATTGTAAATGAATGGTAAAAGGTTTTTCAAATTAGTTTCTACAAGGGTCCTTTCATTACTAATTTTTATAATGCGAGAGTGTTAAACATGTGATAAGGTTGTTAGATACGAAAGTTTAGTATAACTTACCACCAAGCCTGATGTTCCTGAGCTCAGCGAGTCTCCTGGCCATGGGACTGGCATACACCCGTCCGCTGTCTGCTGGTGCTGCAGGGGCCGCGGGAGGGGGCGCGGCGGCAGCAGGGGCGGGAGTCGGTGTCGGGGCGGGGGCCGCTGCAGCCGGGGCCGGGGCGGCCGCCGCGGGTGCTGGGGCAGCTTCCGCTGTATTTGCAGTCGATTTAGTAAAATTGTATATATTTTCAACTTTATTATTTCGTAGCTAAGTTTAAAAACTATTGTAAGGAAGAGGACGAAATAAAAAATGATATTTTATTATTTTGGATAATGTTGTACAAGAATTAACGCTAATTTTTTGCATGTACTTGGATCTGACGCTTTATATTAATAGATCTAGCAGACATCGCATAGAAGACATCTAATGAAGATAAAAAAGAAATAAAGAATTCGAAAAAAATGTGTTAAAATATAACCTGTTTTCTTGACAGGCGGCCTGACTGCGCCGGGCGGTGCTGTGGGTACAGACAACAGTTAGACAAACATGCAATGTAAATGTATGTACACCAGTATTAGTTTACATTTACACTAAGCACTGAAATAAAAACATTAACATTGTATTACAACATCAAATCATGCTGGTAGCATTAATTTTTTTTTTATTATTAAAATTCTTATGTTTCCTCGGGTATTAGAGTCATGGTGCCAATCATATTAACCATTATCATTAATTTTTTTAATAAATTTTATCAAAAAGTT